CTTCTCTATTCTACTAAAGATTAGGATATCGTCCATATATACAATGCAGAAAACGTCTAGTAAGCCCTTTAGGGACTCGTCCACGTATGCCTGGAAGGTAGCTAGGGTATTCGTCAGCTCAAAAGGCATCACTAAGTACTCGAACTGCCCATATTTAGTGCGGAATGCTGTTTTCCACTAGTTCTCTATCTTAATGGGGATCCTATGGTAAGTATCTCGCAGATCTAGCTTTGTAAAGAGTTTTGCTCCTACTAGGCGATTAAGGATCTTAGATATTAAGGGCAATGGATAACGATTCTTAATCGTAACCTTATTTAGCCCTCTATAGTCCACATAGAGGCGAAGTCCTTCGTCTTTCTTTGGGATAAATAGAATGGGAGCCCTAGTAGGTGAGATACTTCGTCGAATTCATTCTTTCATTAATATATTGTCGAGGTATTCCCTTAGAGCCTCGAGTTCTCTACCACTTAAAGGGTAGATAGGTCTATAGGGTGCTATTGTACCTGGCGTGAGATTAATTATATACTCTATCTTCGACACTAGTGGAATTTAAGCCTCGCTCGGATCTAATGCCACGTCGCTATAGCTAGTATAAAGAGAAGATATATCTCCGTCTTTACTCAATGTAAGAGTTCGGAGGCGGGTGAAACACTGCCCCACCCGATTCGGGTAAGAAACTCTTTAAGATTTCTCTAAAGGTTGATACTACATAATGTAGATTTCATTCTTCTCTTAAATAAGCTCTTACGCTGTGATTATGCTAATTCGGGTTTAGCGGTCTAGATCTCTCACTACCTAGGTACCATCTCTAAAATTAATGTCGGAATTAATTACTTTGAGCCAGCGTATATCGAGTATTATGTCGAATCCCTCGATATTCGTAGATAATAAATTGAGTCTGGTCTTAGTAGTCCTTCCCCGGTCATTAATGGCCTAAACCTCGAGGCTGTGACGGCCGTAAATGGTGATCTGCCGACCATCCATAGCCTTCCTAAATACATCTGGTGGAACGCCTTTTAAACTAAGCCTAACAATAGTTGTCTATGAGATAAAGTCATCCTGTGCCCCATAGTTCATAAGGGCCCGCAATCGATGCTTCTCGCTCTTTACTCGGACTATTACTTAAATGCTTATACAGCGTTGCTCCAATGCGCCGTGTCTCGTAGACTAAATGTGCCCTAATGCGGTAGCTACGTTTACTACATTGGTATCTATTTTTTTGTACTCTTTTCAGGGTAATCCCGTACTAAATATTCTTCCTTATGGTAATTATAGTACTTAGGAATAAACGAGGACGTTAATTTTTCTCTCTACTTAGCTTTAGACTTAGCTAACACGTTTAGCGAACTGGATGTGTTTTTTCCCTCCCGATTCGGGTGGGAAGTTCTATTCTTACTTCCTATTATAGCCATCGATGTCTTTTGCTTTAGGAGCTCATTTCTTTTCTCTAAAGCATTCTTCTTCTTAGTCTTACCCTTTTACTCATTCGCGAAACGTGTCTTATGGCGATAGGCGGCCGTAAGAATAGTATCTCTATTAAGACGTACCTCCTATAGCTCTACTATAACTACGTTACGAATATTAGGCTGTAGACCGTGAAGGAAACGCCATATCTTTTGCTCGACTTCCGTGAGCCTTAATGCCTCCACCTCGGCCTCTACTTACTCTAGTTTATATAAGTACTAACGAACACTCTGTTCTTTTCATTACTTTCTGAACTAAGCAGCATAAGTGGTCTTAAAAGTGCGAGTTTAAGGGTCTTTGATGGTGCCTCGAAGGAACGTAAGGAATTCCTCCTAACTGGCGGGCACGTTGCGTTGTCTATAATATATCTAACGAGGCTCTTCATCTAGCTAGGTTGCCGCCGTTTGGATGGCCCGCTTAGCCACCTCAGAGTCTATTAGGTCCTGGTGGTAGGACTCGAAATACATCTCGATGCCCATAATAAACTCGGTTAAGACCTAGTAACTACCCCTATTAAAATACTTCGGGGGGTCCGCCTTAAAGATTTTCGCGTAGCTAGCTAAATTATCTATGGCTAGTCGCTTATTATTTTCACCCGATTTAGGTGGGAGACTTCGAGAATATGCTGTAGTCTCTTACATTAATCTCTGTTCCACACTAAGAGTACCCCCTCTCCGTAGGTAATGAATTCGGTCTATTTATTCTCGCCGTGTCCTTTCTCTTTTAAGCCTGGACAGTTCGGCCTATAATTGTTCATCATCTATTTCTTCGAGGTCACTCACGTCCGTAGGCGTGAAAATGAGATGTCGCGGGTCTGCAGGGCCCGCAATGGTCGTAGAGTCTTCATCGACAGTCCCCGACGAGACCTTGGGCGCCCCATTGTCTCGGGGCGATGGGGGGTTCATTCTCACCTGATTTAGGTGGGAACTTACCCTAGTAAGGATGGTTTTTGGGGGTCTCCCTAGAATCGCATATAGCTACTACTAGCTCGACAGTGCCACTGCGTGATAGGCAAGCGTTGAGAATTATCAGGGACCTACGCAACGCAGTAGGTACAAAGGAATTGGAGTAGCTGAATGCCTTATTCTATTCACGTAGCCCTATTGACAACGACTCAACGCTTGAGAAAAAGGAAGAGTTCTCTCTCAGCCGATTCAGGTGAGAGGAGACTCTTATAGCTTCCCCTCTTTCTGTCACGTGAAAAGGGTAAGGCAGCGTTAACCGATAGCCTTGTGCCTCAACCGTCCTTTGCCTTATCCTTTCCTTTTCTTTCTATACCGTCCACCCGATTCGGGTGGAGGGCGTAGAGTACTTGGGGACAACGGTGGGTTCGTGACAACTTCGCACCTCGACAATGAAACCACTAGCGTGGATTCCATTTGTTACCTGGGTAATTTAATTACATCTACGAGAACCGTCGTGTTTGGTCTCGTTACTCCTGGTCAAACGGTACTAGTTATGCTATATATATATACGCTTAATAAGACCAGTACGTGAAGACGTTGAAAGCATGGACTCGTCATACGCCTTGGCAGTCATCTGCTTTACTACAATCCAGCCACACGAGGAAGGGCCATTCCCAAGGTTTCAAGAGACCTAGCAACAAATGAAAACACTGCGGGTCTGGCATACGCAAAGGAGTGAATGGCTAAAAGGATGGCTCCCGTTGTGACTGTGAATCCAACATGTTATGGAAAGGACTCTTCCGTGTTAGCGGTTTCCGACTATCTGCGAGTCATCATTGCCCAGTTTCATGCGCTCATCAAACATTGCTTTGGCACTTTCGCTGCTTCCCAATGTTGGTCTCAAGAGTCAAATATCGATATATCTGGCTGGCGACCGCCGCGCTCCTAATTTCTATCGTTTTGTTCCTATGGAGCAGCCATTCAAGTTTCCCGGGCTTCTGGGTCAGACTATCCAGCAGCGACAGTGCCTGGATCTATAAAGGTCCAGTTGCCGAAGACAAAGTCGTTATTCTCGCAAAGATCAAAGCCGAAGATGTCAGTTGGGTGGCGAGTGAGCTGCCAGAGTACGTTTTCCATGATCCCCTTGATCCCAACAGTTTTCCCGTGCTGACGGACTGCGGTATCTGCCTCCCACAGTTGGCAGCACGCTATCTACTACATGGACGATCCGACGGAAGGAACTCTGCATCCACCGAAAAACAAAGGCCGCGAGGCTATGGCGTATCTCAGCTTCCTGATCGACCACTACCATAACCTCCCTTTGTCCATGGTTTTTGTACATCCGCATCTCGAGGGTTGGCCGTCCGCTTGGCATACGGACAACGAGGGTTACAACAACGTCAAGTCTATCCGGTCCTTAAGGCTCGACTATCTGCAAGAACAAGGATACGTAAACATGCGATGCATTCACGATCCAGGCTGTCCTGCCGAAATCCAAGTCCTGCGAGACAAAGAGGACCACACCGCTGAGCATGCAATGCGAGACGCCTGGCCTTACATGTTCGGAGACAACCAATCGACCATTCCAGAGATAATCGCCCAGCCATGTTGCTCACAATTCGCCGTCTCAAGAGCTCAAGTGATGAAGCGCAACAAGGAAGATTATCAACGTTACCGTCAATGGCTGCTCGATACTCCGGTAGATGACGCAACAAGTGGACGAGTATTTGAGTATCTCTGGCATGTCATTTTTGGCCGAGACGCTGTGTATTGTCCACCCTTGCAAGAGTGTTGGTGTGAGCAATTCGGACGTTGTTGAGTTCTCCATGATGAGCATTTCGAAGGCCTTGTCTTGGTTTTGTGCCGGAACTGCAAGTTATCATCTCAGCCAGCATCCGTGTCAGGCGCCTCAAGTCGCTGCAAGCACTGCTTAATGGGCCACGAAATGCAGTTAAATCGATGCTCTCCTCTCTCCTCATAGCCTGCACACCGTGATTACTCGGTGATGTCTCAAATGCGTGGCGGCCAGCACTTCATTGAGGGGACAAATCTGACTCAAAGAAGCATTCGCCATCAAGCGATGCTGTACGACTGTCGTCCGCTAATGCTTCCGCTATATTCTGAGCATACAGAGCCATTGGGATCGGACCGTTGAACATATCGCGTGACGGGAGTCTCCATATATGAAAAGGCCGACGGATTGAGAGACGTCGACGTTGGAGTAATGCCAGGCCAACTGGCCAACTACGTATTCTCATATGCCAAGATGACAAGCACTGGTGGATGTTCTCGGTAAGGAATATTGTTGTTCCGCAGCCCAGATTTCAACCCATGTTTTCAAACATCACCATGCAAAGCTCCTTCTCCAACCACAAAACCAGCTCCATGGTGAATACAAGGCACGACGCGCCGCTGGAATTGTCAAGCACGATCTGCCGCACACAAGTTGAAGTCATTCAAACCCTCATCCCAACCTCAACGTTGTTTAAATTCTCAGCCATCATCGGTTGCTTGTTGCTTGAGTCTGAGCAAGAAGTATAGGTTCATCTCTCTGGAGACTACGGACCCAAGCACGCTTCTCCTCTATCGTCGGCTCCATTCTGGGTCAGGATCATCACCTGCGACATTCTTTCATTTATCGTCGTCTCTTCGGGCAAGGCCATGCTCCCACGCTGGCGCCGGAGTGTATGTGATGGTCGTTGTACCGACCTTCTTCCGTCCGATTTTGGCAACGGCTTCGAGCACCCCTTTGTCACTTGACATATTCAATTCAATACCCACATCAATACTGATATGGCTCGGACAAGCTCGTCCAGCCTCTTTTGCTTGGGCACGTTTCTCGCGGACAATCGCAGTGACGTCGACTTGGATTGTTCCTATCTTCTCGACTGCTACACCTCTGTCAGCATCTCTATAACATTTGTATGGGACAGTCTTACCGGGATGATCTACGCGAGAAGGGGCAACGTCATCAGAACACTTAAAGAGTACCTGCTGTAACACCTCTTTCTTGATTGGTCTCTGAGTGTTCTTTACCACGTGATAGCATCTCAATGTCGGTGTCGGCTTCATATTGGGTTTCAGCTTCTCGCCCTGCACTGCGGTCAGTGTGCTCCGAGAACGCGATTCATGGCTCACCTTTTCAACAAGCCACTCTATTTGGTTCTTGGACCTGAACCCTAACTCTGGGCATTTGAACCTGTCTTCAACTCTGTGTTTCTTTGGGTCCCATCGTGTATGAACGTGGGTTCCTAAAAATTCGCGCGATCTCCTGCAGATAATGGGCAATTTCGCCTGACCGGCCAGAACTGCTCCTCGAACGACCGCAGCCATCGGTCCATGAGGAGTCTGGACTTTGACCCCGCTATCCTTGAAGAAGTCCTTGGCAAATTGCTCGACTCGGTCCAAGACGTATTCATTGCAACTAAGTCCACCACATAAGGCTATTCTCTGCAGTGATTGAAGTCAGCGAAGATGCCTATCTAGCTCCTGTGCAACTTACCCGAAGAGAAGTGATTGGTTGATCATTTTCCTTTATTCGGTCGACCTGTTTACGGATGATGTCAAATATACCCTGGACGACCGGCTCGAAAAAGGTTTCCATTTCGGCACTGCTTTCTGTTAGCGCAGTCCTCGATCCAAAGGACGCCTTCAAAGCAGGAGGGAGCAGGGGGAAGATACTTTGTGATTTTCACATTGTTGTCCTCGAAGTCATAGCGGTCGCGGACCATCAGATCTTGCTCGTCAAGCTTTTTCATCACAAGGTGAAGCCAATATTCCTGCTTTCCCTTACTTGGACCCCGGTAGTTGCGTTTGTGCTTTTCGAATTGTTCCATGAAATGGCTCCCAGGACCTATCTTGTCAAGGGAAAGGTCACTGAACGCAGAGCCGAAATGGTTATGCATCAGAACATGAAGAGCACGATCGACAGTTGTCCCTCCTATCTTTGCACCTGAATTCGAAGTCAGTAACAACCCGTCGCCTTGAGATGACAATATAACCTTCACCGGCACAGGCCTCCTCCAGCTGTAACGGCGTGCGAGAGACTATTCTGTATAGAACCGAGTCCATTGTGCCGCCTCCTAAATCGATGACCTGCATGCAAGCGTTGTCCTATGGCATTGTCAGAGACTGGACTCGAAGTCTTCAGCACCGAAGTTACCTCCAATGTCTCGACAGAAGAAGATGCCTGCAAAGACTTAATCACGTACAAAGCTGCCGCTTCGCTTTCGTCAATGATGGCGATCTCGTCCTGCTCTTCGGCCCCAAAGCCAGCGTCTCTTACTGCCTGGCGAGTCGCTTCGCGTGCCGCCAAAGACCATGTGGTCGGAACAGGAACGTAAATTCTCTTGGGAGTACTTTCGAGTGTTGCTTCCAGGATGGTTCTTCCCAGATGTTGCATATAGTGCTCTCGCATCTTACTCACGAAGTCCTTGATGACTTCGATCGCTTCTTTACCTTCCGGTAAACGCATGAGAGCATTGCCCGTGGCCTGCTGCAAGTGGCGATCGCGAAAATCTGCCTTCTTCATATTCTCGTCAAGGTGGAGTTTTATGAAAAAGCAGGCATTCATTCTGCCAACAACGCCATTGCCCCATTGATCCGTGTCGAAGTCATTCTCTATGGCATAAGCCATCCTTGTGGGGACCTTGACCTCCGACGTGTTACCAGGCCATTGTTGATAGACCACGATCTTGTCGAGCGAAGCGGCGCCGACAACACACGCAACAGCGCTCCCTGTCGTCCCAATGTCCAGTCCTATTATTATCACCGGGTCCTTGTCTGCCTTGGGATTTCGGAGCAGTCGAGGCTTGCGCCGGGGTTTCGACGCTTTTCCTTCCGTACTCGACTCGTCTCCAGCTTCGGTCAGAGATATTTTGAGATGGGTGCTACTACACTCACCGTCACGTTTTCGCTTTGACGCAGATGGCGTTTGGGCAGTCACTTTCTTCAGCGAGGCCTGAGCTTTGGCCTGAGCCTTGGCTATGAGTGGAAGCCCTATCAATATACGCTCATTCTCACATCTCTCGGACATACCTTTCGCCGTCTGATTGGTGTCCTTCAGCCCTAAGGGCATGTATTCACAATCCATTTTGGCGTCGATGGATGCGAGGAGCAGATGGACAACACTGGACAAGGCCAGTGGAAAGAAAAGAGCTTTGAGCAATGTGACAATAGGGAAAGGGCGTTACGGCAGTTGGAAGAGAAAATGACGCCTGATGAAGCAAGGAAGAGACATTGAAGAGAGAGGAGACAATTAATATACTAGAGACGAGGCACTTTCACGTGCTCCGAGAGAACTCTACCTCACTTTCGATTCAGGTACAGTTTACCTGAGCCCCTGGCTGGCCTCACTCTCCCCTTGAAATCATTCTGAGAACGACTACCGTTAGGCGTTGTACATGTCTCATTACAGCTACATCGTGACTTGTCGTCTCTCTGATGCACCCCGAATCGTTGATCATATCTCAGACTTCCTCTCATGAGTATTCTTGAAGTCAGTTTCATTCGATGCACGCACCACACCACAACCAACCGCAAGTAGCAGTTCTACCAAAATTCGGTCCAACGCCAACATGGCATCCATACAGAGCAGCAACAAGGTGGAAGTGGTGATAGAGAGGTCTAAAGAAGCAGGACCTCTGGTACTTTCAGATGCCACAAGTTCCTCGAATCAGTCACCCAAGCCTCGGAGGAGGGATCGAGTTAGACCTTCTTCTCGGAGGCAAAGCTTTCCAGAGGACACCGCCGCCGAGTCCAGCAGAGATGAAACCCGAGATTATCATGGATCAGATCCTGACTACGAAGACACCTGTCCTGAAGGGAGTCAGGTGACCACTCGATCTAAGAGAAAACGTTCGACTGGAGGCCCCGTGTCCCCCAGGAAACCGGCCACAGTTGGGACCAAGGACACAAAACCAAGTGGGAAACTGGATCAACCTGCGAATGGCATTGATAGCGCCCAGTCCGCGAAGGCAAAACGGAGCAGGAAGCTTGCAGATAAAGATGACAAAGACAAACCTACCAACGAGTGGATGAAGGAGCTACGGGCGAGCAGAGCAGCGCTTCGGCAGTTAGAAAAACAAATCAGGGGGTGCGAAGAGAAATTGGAATCAGCACGTAAAGAAGCCGAAAAGGAGAGAATAAAGGCAGACCGGTTCCGCCAGGACCATTTGAAGCTTCTATCTAAAGGCAAAGTCGAGGTGGAGTCCAACATAAAAATCGACACCAAGTGCGATATCATATTCCACAACAAGAGCTTTTGTAAAGCGTGGGCGATCCCAAACTGGACAGATATTAACCTGACCACGTTAAGGGAGGCATTCTCTAAACTATCGAGCAAAAAGTCTAAGCCTTTCGCCACTACGGCTGTGTTACGAGCTGCCGAGCAGAAGAGGATACCGTCTTGGGTGGTCTTGAATGCATATCTAAATAGGGAACTCTGCGCTGAGACATTTGCAAGACCCTTTGCACACTTGAGGTTGGGGCCGGCTGAGGAGGACAATGGAAAATCCGAAAGCCTGTTGAATCGGATTATGGAAAGGGCTGAAGAGAGTGCGTCTACCCACTCCGATGATGCTGTTTCAGCAAGCTAACACAGAATAGAATCCCCGAACACCAAACACAAACTAAGGGTGACCATTCTCCGCGCCATCGACCCTTCTCCTGTAGAGGGTGGCCAGCTGACCAGCTCTACGACACAGCAAGAGATGTCAGTTGAAAGAGTAGAGCGTTGTAAGGAGATCGTCTCGCATATTGTCGCAGAAGTTAGTATGCTCCTCAAGGACGTCAACGATGAGGAACGAAACGCAAGAGAAAGCCAACTGCTTCATATTGTCGAGAATGCCATGGAATTGTCTCACGCCATCAGTGTGCAATATCCGACGGTCCAGTTCTACTTCCTAGACAACTTGAAGAAGCCAGAATTCGAATTGAAGAAGTTCTGGTTCAAGCCGCATGATGTTCTCAAGATTACTACAGATGAGGAAGCCCAGGCTCTTGTGGGTGAGCCGATTGACATCGTTGTTGCACCAGCGGTTGTTAGATACGGTGATAAAGATGGTGAGAACTACGAGAGAGGGCAGCTCGTATCCCAAGGGTCGGCCTGGATAGCGAGTGCTGAATTAGCGTCACGGAACATCGCCGATACTCAATCGACGGATCTACTTTCCCGCGAAGAAGAGCGAAAGATCTCCGAAAGCAGACGGCGGACTGAACTCTACGAACAGATACCGGAAAATCCAGCACCCCAGGCCACCAAACCCGAGAAAGAAGACATCAAGAAGGAGCTGTCTCCAGATGCTTCAAAAACACCTTATAAGCTCCGCACTCAAAGACGACCTACCAGGAAGAAGGCGGAGACGGAAGCAGGGACAATTCAACAGGATGGGCGTTCCGAACGCAGTCAGAGTATGGTTAATGATCCTGAAGAGCCAATACCTCCACCGAGCTCTCGAGGTCTATTGAGAGCTTCCGCGCAACCACCACTCTTGGACCACGACGCTGAGCCGGCCGAGTCAGCCGAAGGCCGCAGTACACATCCTTCTGAGAACAAGGATGAAAACCAGGAGCAGCAAGTTTTAACCATGACATCGAGAGACTTAGCTGCTTGCCTGGAACATGGGCTTTCCAAATCATCTCCAAATGGAGGTCAAGACTCGAGGTTTGATAGGCCTCCCAAAAGAAAACGCGAACAAGCGAGGAAGGAAACCGGTGCGCAAACCCATCGAGGAGAGATGACAACAAAGGGGGAAGCTGGAAATGCAGAGGTGAACTCCGAAGTGATCGACAATTTGCAGGCTAAACAAGCAGCTGCATATGCGCTTCTATCGCCATCTAGATCCTTGTCTACGCACTCTTCTACCTCGGGGGTAAAGACGGGAGCATCTTCGAGTCAAGGACATCCCAAAGAGCGTTGCAAGAAACGTAAAGCGTCTTCTGCTGAACCCGAAAAGAGAGTTGGAGATGGGGAGTCCGACGAGGATGGCCAAAGCTTTAAAAAAAAGGCAAGTTGCTCAATCTAGTCATTTCCCCGGATCGAACATGATCTGATCCTAACAACTGGCCAGAAAACTGACGAAGGAATCATAGAAATCAGCAGTGACGAGGAAATGGTTGAGCCCGAAGGACGCACTAAATGCCATGGAGGCGCGGAAGGACATGGCTCTGATCACGTTCTCGGACACAACGAACCAAGCCCTGAAATCCGAGAAGACTGCAGCACCAGAAGGTCCAGCATATCGAATGCAGAACCAGCCTCGACGGCTTATATCTGCGACACCAGGATCGCAGACAGGCTATCAAACCCCACAGCCCAACAGGACTGCGACAGGCAAACCCCAGAAGACCGATCAGACCCAAACCCCCAAGAACCTGGCCTCACAGTTAAAGAGCATCCTAGACTCCATTGCATGAAGCGCCACAATACTAAGTGAAGTTGTTCCCACCACTCCCACCTTCTAGTCATTGCTGAACACCAAGAAACGGCACGTGATACCAGATTCTAGACGACATTGGCATTGGATATGCCAACTATACCTCAATACATCGAAGTATTAGCATCGAAACACGACCATGACTATCCAAAATACCGGGATCTCAACCCCACCACTGACGGATATGACATTCCGCCCTTCCCCCCAAACAGCAAAAAAAGGGAGGAAAACTCTAGAAACCACGCCCAAAGACCAAAAAAAGAGGCGAGAATCGCCATTCTGCGTTGTTTCAGTAACAAAAACCCACTCACCACTCACTGGTTCGGGCTCGAATCACTCTGCGGCGCTCGAGACACATGATTCGATCCCAAATCAGGGAGGTAGGACAAGCTGTGTCTTCTATGGTAGGGGGTTTAGACACATACAGGCCTAGCGATTTGCCCGGGGAGAGAGAAGGGTGAGAAGGGTTGGTTCGCTGGAAACTTGAAAGTGCGGACTGGGAGCGGGAAACGGACAACTGATGATAGTGAAGGGAAACGATACTGCCTGCGGTGCTGCCTTTGGACATGAGCATGATGACGGACATGAATTGTTTTCATGGTTTGCTTCGTTCCCTTCCTTCTTGCTTTGCTTTCTCTGCATACGGCGGCTTACTCTGAAGAAGATGAGAGGAATCGCTAACAACGCTATGTCAATCCGGAGCTTCGATCTCATGATCTAGAGCATTTTGGACAAATTTGGCCTCGATAGCTGCGCGGACAGAAACAACAGCGGGTGAGAAGTGTTGTGTCGAGCTTAGATTTTGAATGCTAAGGTGGAATTCCCGTTGCATGCCCTCCCTCCCTACTCGTAGCTGAGCTTTTGCTCTCCCTTGCAGGACCCCAGCGAACTTTCCAGATATACGACGAATAAAGTCGTGAGCGTTGTTGTTTGTTCATGTGTCACATTTTCCTTTTACCTGTGCGCCCCAATTCTGGTATTTTCCACCGCTATCGGCAGGAACATTCCCACTCTGTAGGTAGGAACCGTAAACGCCCGTCGCTGATGCAGCATACATAATGTCTTGCCATCCGCTCGCCCGTACATTGGTTACACACGACACCACGCCCGTTCCTATCCAGTCAAGCAGCCAGCACTCCCGCAACCTGACAACTCATATCAAGCAACGCGAGATGCTCGTCAACCCCGTCGACCAACTTCTTGTCAAACTCCGAGAAGATGGCGGTCAGCTTGTACTTTTTCCTCACGGCCGCGTCTTCTTTGCCGTTGACGGCTACGTCATCCTCACCAAGCACAACCGCTGAGTATAGAGCAGAAAGCACCTCGTTGGCGGCATACCCGCCTGCGACGATGTTAGTGATTTCCGACGCGATGGCGTTGTAGTTTCGTGTGTTGCCTTTTTGGAGGATTTCGATGAGGTTGTCCGTGAGATTCGGGGGAAATGTACCCGCGATTTCGTTGATATCTGATATTTTGACCATGTTGTTTGATTGAGCCGGTTCCGTTTTGGCGGCATCGATATCTTCCATTTCCTCGTCCGACTCATCTGCGACCACCTTTTTTTTGTGGCCGTTCGAGGTTGATGTTGAGGGTGAAGCGCTAGCAAGTCGAGCAGCACTCTGAAGAAGATTGATAGCACGTCGAAGGTCCCCATCCGACACTTTGAGAGTCCTTTCAATGACGCCCTCCTCATACCTCACATTCTCTGCTTTGAGAATCTCTTGGATACGCGCGGCTGCTTCGGACCCTTCGAGAGCCTTGAATCGAAATTTCGAACACCGCGAGGCTATGGGATCGATTATCCTTGAGACGTAGTTGCAGCATAGAGCAAATCTAGTGGTTGCGCTGTGGATCTCCATCACTCGTCTTAACGCACCTTGCGCATCCTGCGTAAGCTGGTCCGCCTCGTCCAACAAAACTACCTTGAAGTTAGGGCATGGGTACTTCTTGCGGTATTCCTCCGAGAAAGGGTGTGTCAGGTGGAGCGATGCGAATTGTTTCACTCGTTCTCTGATCACGGAGAGACCTCGTTCGTCTGAGGCGTTGAGTTCGAGGACTCTTGTTTTCATGAGTTCTGGGCCGAACAGTTCTCGGCAGAGGGCGAGGATTGTGGACGTCTTGCCATTTCCAGGCGGGCCATAGCAGAGGAGGTGAGGAAGGTTTGAAGCGTTGACCATACGACGAAGTGTTTCGGTGGCATGTTCCTGGCTCTTTACTTCTTCTAAATTCCGGGGCCGATACTTCTCCGTCCACGGCTGCGCGGCAGGGGCATGCTCAACAATTGATTTTGTGGCAGGATTTTTGGAGCTCGAGGCTGCGCGGCTGCGGTCAAAGAAGTTCGCCATGTTCAATCTGCTTTAATGGGAGAGTCTGTGGGCTGGTTGTTCAATGACAAGATCAAAGTTGTCGCGAGGGACGCGTTGGAGGCCCCCAGAGGCGCGTTAAGTGGCTTGGCAAAGCGATCACGCACGTGATGACTCAAGGCTGAACGAATAAGGAGGGCAAGCGAGCCAGCTTTCACCAGGGACATGGGAGCGCAATCATAGAAGAAATGCCAAAGAAATCCGAGCAACATCAAATTCGTCATGCCGTCAAGTCATAACTCGTCCCTCCGTTGCTCGACATCTACTTCCATCATCCGCTTCTTCGTATTTCTGGGCTGTTCTTGTTGCGCCCTCCTTTCTTCCTCCGTGATATCATCCACATTCGTCCCTTGATCCTCCATCATTCTTCCGATCTTCTCGATCATACTTTCAGGAGCACCTTCGGGCGGACTTTCCTGTGGAATCTGTGGCGGTGGACCTCTCCCACCTCCCCCTTTCGCCGGTAGCGCCATGCTCCGAAAATGAATGTTCGAATTGTGTGTAGGCATTCCTCTGGCATTTATGCCAGGCACCGAGACAGTGAGGGAAGGCACCGGGGCAGGAGATGCTGTGATATCAGATCTGCCACCCAGTCCCACGGCTCCTAAACTTGTCAAAGTGACCCACCACATCATCCGCAAAGGCCACCAAATAAACAGCATCAACGGTCCATATAGGATCCGGCGGTAGAAGAGCCAGCATATTGTTGCAGCAAGAATGTAGAAGGAAGACTTCAAGAACCAAGTGTCTGACTTATTGCTCCGCACCAACTGACCCACAAACCCTCTACTCGCTTTTAATAAATCCGTGGTCCCCGCATAGCTTTGCGTCAAGCTGTCCAAGGCCTGTTGGCTTTCTTCTAAAGTCTGTTGAGCAAACTGCGAGACTGATAGTTCTCCTTCCAGTTGGTTATGTACCCTCCGCAGCGCGATAGTAACATCTTCTGCAGCGCGTAGAGCTAATTCATCCTGCGTCAATTTCTCATGTGTAGGTCGTCCTCGGGCTTGCTGTTTGCCATCTTGTTTGCGATCTGCAAATAATTGCTCTCTCTCTTTCCTTTTTTCTGCATCCGCATTCCTCTTCGCTTGAAGTTGTGCTTTTCGAAAACTGGCCCGCGCGCTCTTCAGGTCCTCCGTGAGTCGCGCCAGCAAGTCGGCGTCTCTTTCGCGCTCGCTCTCCCGAGTCGAGAGATTTCGTCGGTGAGTCGGGATGGCATCATCTTCAAATTCTTGTCTTAAAATTTCCAGTCTGTCTTCTTGTTCCTTTAGGTTATCATGGATTTCGGTCGCGAGCTCGAGACGTCGTTCATCTGGATTGTCGTAGGAATTTGAGCTGGTCGAGAATTTGCGCAGTTCTTGAATTTGAGAGAGTGTCTCTTTATAAGAGTCGGTAAGGGCTTGGAGACGTTCTGAGAGGGAGAGAGACATCTTTGGAGGAGCGTGAAGTTGGAAGTCGTGCAAGTTCAAGCGTCAAACGCCAACGTGTATCGGGACTGCACGTGCAAATGGTGCAAACAGTGCAAACTTGCCGCTTTGGTCCAACCTCGTTTGTATTATGCCACAACGTACGCTCCATTCGTCCTGCAATTCTCAACCAGCATCTCCTTGGCAGCGGTGGATGCGGCTTTGTCCACCATTCTGTGTTACTCTCTATCAAGGATCCTGCCCGCGAGTTGCTATCAACGAGTTTTATGGAATCTGCTCACAAGGATTACGGAAGTCAGGAATGGTCCACGCCGCGGCAAGCTAACATGAGACTCTGTTTCCTTTTGAAGCCCGCACAAGCCCTTACTAAATCCTACTATTATGGGTCTGCAAGCGACTTGGTGGTTGACCTAGGCTAGGTCATGCCGTAGAGCTAACCAACGGGGAGAGATAGGATGATTTTGGCTCGGGCTTTCTTTAAATGCGGTGAGAGTGCGCAAGCTTTCGTCTTGTTCGAATATGGAAATAGGTTGTCAGAATATCCATCAAAGCCGACTTTGTGCTGCTCTAGCTATCATTATGCCTCCCTCTGGGAGATCTCAGCCATCATTCATACCCTTCGCCATAAGCCTCCACTAGCGATTTAGCATGCTCTACCAGTATTTGCCGGAACCTGGGGCTGTTCGAAAACAACGCTGAGTCGTGTGCCTTCGACCTAAGGAGATATAAATCGCTCCGTGCTCCGAAGTCCTCCTCTGGATAGGCCGCTGGATAGAGCTTCAAGTATTCTGTTTGCCACGCTGGCCCAAATTCGTACCTAGCTCGTTTCGTCATCGTCCGAATGTCATACTCATTGTGCCCCCAAAAGGCGCTGGCATCATAAGTGACTGGTTCCCCCGTAAGAATGTCCGTTGATACATTGCCGTGCCAGAAGTCACCGTGGAGTAAGCTTGGTGTGATACTATGCCCACCGGTCTCCATCGGCCTGAGTAATCTGGGGATAACTTTGTTGAAGATTTGCTGTACAAACTGTTGCATTTCTTCGGTCTGTGGTCCCCAAACCTTTTCCTCAAGTTTCAGTATACCTCTCAACTGCTGAGCAAAGAATTGCTCCCAGTTGTCGGTCCACCGATTATCCTGAGCTAAGCTGCCGTTGTAGGTGTTTACTGGAAAGCCGAATTTCTGGATGCCTGCTGAATGTGACTTCAAGTGCAGCTCTGCAAGGCTTGCACATGTGGATCTCATATCTGGAAGTTCTTGCCTAATTTCGCGGAACTGGGATAAAGTGAAGTGCAAATTTGGATTTGACGCAAATGTCCCCCAGGCTATGGGACGCGGGACGAAGTTCGGGCTGAATCGCATGATTGCTTTCATCGATTCATATTCTCCCTGCATCATACCTCTGCAGTTATCACCTTCGGCAACCTAAGTTTGTAAGTAAATGAGTTTAATTACTTAGTAGAAATATCGAGGTGCTGGGGATGCGAACTTTGAGGAAGAAAGCCTGCTTGGATCCGTCTGGCAATATGGCATCAAGGCGAGCTGTTCTTGTCCAATAGCTTCTTCCAGAGCCTTTGATTCCCACGATTCTGGAACCGTCCGGCAAGCCTACAATAACGTCAGGTTGGCAGCTTAGGAGCGTTCTAGGCAGGAGTTTGGCTCATCTGAGGGCAGCGTACTCGCTAATACATTCTCGTCGACTTCGCCGAATTCAAGTAGATTGAGATATCCTCCCGCTTCAGAGTCATGGTTCATTGTCATGTTGCGATGTTGGGCGCAAGCTACCAGGCTCTGTGAAAGGACCGCGACTCCCGCAGTGCCAGGCAGTTGCTGCGATGAGGCTCGAAGATGAAGAAACCATTTCTCGCAGCTCGTGGGACTCGAGCAATGGCCATAGCGCCACTCCCAGCCAGAGCTGATGAACGGGGCTCGTGCTACATATCGCTGGCGTGCTTTCCATGGACGAGTGCAAGGGGTAGTACATACCAAGTACATACCTCGTACCCCCTATCACTAAGATCGACGAGACCTACAGAGCGTGGGCAGGTCTGCCGAAGCCCTCGGGCCCTAAGCGGGCTTTCCGAAAGCAATTCCAATGCGACAACACACGATTCTCCAAAAATAAAAAGACAGGCAACACCACGAGTTGAGATCCCAAACATGATAACGACATACTTAACCTCGTTGACAGCGAGATTCAACCCCTTCAGCGCATCATCCAAAATCCCACGTCTGTTCCTCACCCTCCTCCCCGCGGACGCTCATAAAAGCCTCAAGATATCCTCCACTGCTCTCCCACGAACCTCCGTCGAACCCAGCACATTAGAACTCGGATTCAAAGATGGGAAGGTGGTAAAATATTCATGGGGCGCTGAGGCGCCGTGTCCGATCAAAGCAGAAGGAAATCCCGCGACAGGGGTGAACAAGGGAAAGAAAGGATCAAGGGAGAGAGTGACGCTGCACGACATTGTGGAGGAAGTCGACAGGCATGCAAGGGTGTTGGCAAGGAAGGAGGAGTTAGCTGGCTGATGGACTACTTTGATCTCGGGGGGAAAACACATGCAAGGCTTTTGAAGCGTGTCGTGAGCAAATGGATGGCAGAGAGGCATGTTCGAAAACGTGCCACTGGGAAGCCGATGGGAGACGGGCGCCGCGTTCAAGCTCGCAAGAAATCAGACTTTGCACCTTACGATGACTGACTCTGAAGCCGAGCAAGCCAGGTTCTAGGGAAATCAAGAACCCTGAGGAACTCCGGCTCCTGGGCGGTCCCGCAAGCTGGAAGGTGCACTACGGAGGAACATCAACTATGCATGCTTCAGCCTCGATGGATGGGGAATCGCGGCCGGCTAGGCGAGAAGACGATAGCGCTTCGAAGACCGGATCCTCAACATGTACTTAAAGCGGGTTAAGGTAGTCACAGCTGTACGCTTAGGTGTCTATGCTGTTGTATTTGTGCGCTGTACGCTAGAGCAGTGGGAATCGCAGGATTCGGACGGTGTCTTGTGTACTTGGAACGAGAGAGACAGGTCGTGATAATCTCAAAACATTCAAGAACCTGTTTCCGGGAAGCTCGTGTGCCAAGGCTCATGGCCAACCCTTCCATCAATTTCAATTGCGAGTGTGGCTCTGGGGAGAGTTGGTTGGAAACACTCAAGACTGTTATTGCCTTCTGGTACTCTTTCCTCGCTGCCCACACCAGTGTCAGAGCCGCTCTGAAGCAGCTCCTGACAGTCCCCCAGACTCATCTCAAGAGAGTAAGATCAGGTACTGACATTTGCCATCTTGGGGTTTTTGCTCGGCCTCTAGATCTCTCCATCTCCAAGTACCGCCACTTTCGAAGACTGTTGGCATTTCCGGGAGAGTGAAGGTTTTCAAAGTCCCATGAGACGTCGAGTCTCAGCCTATTTTCAAACAGCCCAGCGTTCTTGCATGTATCCGTAACCAGTCGCGGTGTGCCTAAGCTGTGTCCTTTTCTGATATTTGGATCAAATGCCAGTCCAACTTTCAAGGGCAACCGCAAGTCCAGGTTTGGTCCCTTATCAAGCCGCAACAATGCCGCGCATTCACGCTGCTACCGCCATCGCGCCCTGACCTACTCCATCAAACCCTGAGTTCTCTGTTGCTATCTCAGCCTTTTGCTTCTTGTTCGGCTCTTGGTGTATGTGTTCGTTCTGATCACTTCTCTGTTCCAGGGCCCTCTTCTTTTCCTGTTTCTTGGCCTGGTTCTCTCGGTTCTCTTGTCTGTGTTGCCGCTTGATATCGGCTTTGGTTGTTTGTGGAATATCCAGACGGAGGACGCGATCGATCTCTTTCGCCTTCCCCACAATATCCAAATCAGAGATCTCCAAAAGCGAAAGTGCTTCTGTGTAGCTTCGCGACTTTTGCACTGGTTGATAAGTGGGACTCTTTCCAGGCATGAGCTGAGATAACAAGAATTTCGTGTTTCCCCATTTATTCTCTACGCTCATCGCAAGCTGCATATACTCTTTGACCACCTCCCGCCAAGGTGCCAGCGCACCCTGCTCTTTGGTGCGAAAAACCGATGAGTTAGCTTCGGCCGCCGTGGCAATCATTGCTCCATCGATGCCGTACTCTTTGGCAAGGGCCAGCCCTTCTTCACGCGATGTCACGTCTCCGTTCATCAAGCAAGCGACCCCATGACTTCTGCATATTTCGCCGATCATACGCAGCTGATCCCTGATAGCACGCTCTCTTGGTCTCATTGGCGTAGTCCGGCAGTGAATGGTCAAGCCAATAATGCCAGTTTTGCAAAGTTTGTTGACAAGCTCGGAGGTCAATTCAGGCGTCTCGAGCAATCGAATCTTGACGCTAATACCGATCTCATGAGGTGCGCCCACTTTCGCGACCAGGGCTTTCAGGATATTGCAAAGATGGTCCGGAGTTCGAAGTAGGGCCGCGCCCATGCCTCCTGAAGTAGAGAAGGGCTTCGGGCATCCGGCATTCACGTCGATTCCACGAACATAAGGAGCCACAAGCGACGCAGCCTGGACGGCGTAGTCGGGCGAAGCAGTACCAATTTGATAGATTAATTTGTCAGATTCTCTTTGTGGATCAATGCGATATATCACACTCTCAGAGTCGTTGTTGGAGGTACGCGTCCATTCTATGCAGCCGGTGCGAGGATTGGTCTTTTGCGTGGTTCCAATCATGGATCGATCGACCGTCTCTGGACCCCATACCAGGTCTGCGCCATATTTCAGAGCCAAAAGGCGCGATGGCAGTTCTCCCGACCGAACCATGGGAGCGAGGACTACCTTTCCGCGGTAGTCGACACCTCTCGCGGGGATAGGAACGTGTGGAACATCTTGGAAGGGTACAGGAGTGGCCATTCTCGGAACAGCAGAAGGGAAAAGGAAGTCTAGGAGGGATAGAGTGCGTCGTAACAGAGACTGTGGCCGAGCAGCATGGCCGACAGTCATCTGGAGTGTAGTGGTGAATCGAATGTGAAAGAGGATGATTTGCCCGCAGGTCCATCAGAGCGCAGTGGCACATTGAAATGGGCGTCTCACGTGGAGATAGTGGCAGGGGTCACGTGTAGATAGCTAAAAACTCGGAATTCTTCTTCGGCCTAGTCGGCGGAGGCCCATTGATATCATATCCTCAAAAATCGAAGGCATTTTCGGAGTATGGGAACTTCAAGTCAGTCTCGCATACCGAGGTGGAAACAGCGGTGCTCAGTCAGATTGAAAGACTAGAAAAGTAAAGTCCACCTGCAGGAATCTAGTCTGGACTATTTCACCCATCCTTCCCGTGCACATGCGTCGACCGTCTAGCATATTTACCAGAATTCACGGTTCGCGAATCTGCAGCAGCCTCTCCGACCTCTCGTCCATTCAGAGTCGATCGTCATTTCACCGCCAATTGTCAACACTGTGCCTCCCGCCCCGCGCCCCTGCCTCCAAGCCCTCCAACAAGTGTGCTCATCGTTTCCTCACTGGCACTTTCGCCCTGGCTTCCACCAAGCCGACAGAAATTTCCATCTCTCCTCCGCTCCGTCACTCCACCTCTGCAATCATAGCTTCTCAACGTTCAGAAGCTATCGCTCGACACCTCTCTACTGCTGCTTCGTCATTACTTCCAGCGACTTCCACCATGTCGTACAGCAAGCAACCTTCTGAATATCAGCCCAGAAAAATCGGTGCCCTGCACACGAATGAGTTCAGATGCTACATCGAGAAAGATGGCACACCAATTTCGCCCTTCCATGACATTCCCCTCTATGCCAATGAGCAGCAAACCATCCTGAACATGATCGTTGAGATCCCCCGATGGTCCAACGCAAAGCTTGAGGTACGAAATCTCAGCCTCAAGGACCTGGCACTCACTGACCTCTACGTAGATTTCCAAGGACGAATTCCTGAATCCCATCAAGCAAGACATCAAGAAGGGCAAGCTCCGATTTGTTCGCAACTGCTTCCCCCACAAGGGCTATCTCTGGAACTATGGTGCTTTCCCAAGAGTGAGTGGCGGTCAAGAGGGAGAGATGGCGGTTTATTAATGGTTTACAGACCTGGGAAGATCCCAATGTCGTCCACCCTGAGACCAAGGCCAAGGGTGACAACGACCCGTTGGACGTCTGTGAAATTGGCGAGCTGGTCGGCTACACTGGTCAGATCAAGCAGGTCAAGGTCCTCGGTGTCATGGCACTTCTCGACGAAGAAGAGACTGACTGGAAGATCATTGTCATCGACGTGAGTTGTCACTATTATATCTTCCCTGCTCCTCTATCTCTGACTTGGCTGTAGATCAACGATCCTCTTGCCCCCAAGCTGAACGATATCGAAGACGTTGAGCGTCATCTTCCTGGCCTTCTCCGAGCTACAAACGAATGGTTCCGCATCTACAAGATCCCAGATGGCAAGCCCGAGAATCAATTCGCATTCAGTGGCGAATGCAAAAACAAGAAATACGCCGAGGAGATTATCCGTGAATGCAGTGATGCTTGGGAACGTCTGATCACGGGCAAGCAACAACGCGGCGACATCAATCTGGCCAATGTCACAAATACCAGCTCGCCAGACCGTGTTGATCCATCGCAACTCTCCAAGATCCCTCCCGGACAGAACCTCCCCCCTGCGCCAATCGACGGGAGCGTTGACAAGTGGTTCTTCATCTCTGGTGCGGCCGTCTAATCTGTGGCACCTGAAGCTGTTGGCTGATTGCATTCAGGAACTGGTGCCACCTCGGAAGACTACGTGAAGAAATGAGGTGTAGGCCTGACAAGAGCGTGGAATCCTAGTCGTACACGAGACCAATGCACATAGACTAAAAATTTAAATAAGTTAGTCAAGTTGCTGATCCAGCCAGAATGGAGAAGAGTTGAGAAAAGATGGAAACACTACTCCGCCAAAAAGAACCGAGTACTATGGAACGTTCCACATCTCCATCGAGAGCTCGTACGAACTTGACAAGATCTGGAAGCCTAACTTCAACTAATCTCACTGACCTGTTAAGGTGTCTGACTTGGGGCATACTGGTTTCATGGATCATTACCGATCGCCGCGTACCTCGTATTTGCTTTTTCTAAGCTTTGTGAAGGGGAGAAATACGTCATCGCCTCCAACGAGAAACGCGTCGCATTAATTTTAAAGGAGTACGGACTATGTGACACGCGCTCTCCAAGATAGCAGTGCACCCACCCCGAGATAAGGCACTTTTGGGCATTCCCCCCTTTTCAAACCATGGAATTTATATCTCTACGGCCGCCGACGGTGACCGGAGACAGCAAGTTGTCTGTCCCCTCCAGTCCGCCCATGACCCTGTTCCCGTGGCGCCGAGTACAACACGATCTCTAACCATCCTCGTCCAACTCTTCCCCATGAAATGGAGAAACCTGCGGCATGGAGTGGCACGCCCTCCATCAGAGGCTCAACCGAGGCCATCCGTATGTGCTTGCTCACAGCCTCCCTGGTCGGCATTCAGTATGTGACGCTACTTCCATCTCGGCTTCAATGGGGAACCTGTGAGACTAACAAATGACCAAAGATTCTGTTGGGGTTTGGAGAGTAAGTTTCTCTCTTGGACATTTTTGTACGGTCCCGTCAAGTAGCATAGGTTAACAGCTATTGGCAGTGACATACGGTACCCCTTACCTCCTCCAGCTCGGTCTCACGAAGTCCAAAACTTCCCTGGTGTGGATCGCGGGACCACTGTCAGGTTTGATCATGCAACCAATAGTTGGGGCTTATGCGGACAAATCAATATCAAGATACGGCAGGCGAAGACCATACATGGTCTATGGGGCACTTATTACAGGTGGTGGATTATTGCTACTGGGCTGGACCTCTGAAGTTGTCGGCTTCTTCATCCCCGAGGGCGATGTGAAGAAGAGCGTGACAATCCTGGCAGCCGTCATGTGCATTTATGCCTTGGACTTCTCCATCAATGCAGTCCAGGCATGCTGTCGCAGCTTGATCGTCGATACACTGCCCATCTCGCAGCAACAGGCTGGATCTGCTTGGGCGTCGAGGCTCGTTGCAGTAGGTCATCTGGCCAGCTACTTCATTGGCACCTTTGACCTGGTCGCGATCTTTCCACCTTGGATAGGAGGGGACACTCAATTCAAGAAAATGACAGTTATTGCAACGTTAGCCTTGTGGTTAACAGTTAGCATAACTTGTTGGGCTGTTACCGAGAGAGTAAGAATACCTTGCGATGACGGCGATACCTCGGTGAAAGACGTCCTCTTTAGTCTGTGGCAAAAGACAATTAACCTCCCTTCACACATACAAGCCATATGTTGGGTGCAGTTCTGGAACTGGGTTGGATGGTAAGTCAGACCCCTTGGAGGATGACGACTGGAGACACACTGAAAGAATACCGCCCTAGGTTTCCCTTCTTGTTCTACTCAAGCACATTCGTGGGCGAGATATATTATCGCTACGAACACCCTGCTCCCCAGTCGGGGGTAAAAGATGAGCACGACGCTCTGGGAAATATAGGGCGACTGGGAAGCCTTGCGTTGGTGTTTTTCTCTTTGACCACCTTCTGTGCGTCGGTCGTTTTCCCGGCCCTCATCAAGTCACCTGAAGCACGCGAGTCGAAGTACACTCCTAGACCGCCTGCGTCAATCCCCAAGCCTTTAAAGGTGATTTTAGGCAAGATGCACAACATCCAGCCCGATCTCGTCTCTGCGTGGAGCTTATCGAATCTCCTCTTCGCCATCATTACAATATTTGCTCCCTGGGTTCGTACCTTATCTTCTGCAACCACTCTGGTAGCCGCTTGTGGCGTGCCCTGGGCTATATCGTGCTGGGCACCGTTTGGGCTGCTCGGGATCGAGATCAACAAGATGTCTTCAGATCCACATGCCGACATCAATGGGTCGACCGTGCCCGGTTACACGGCAGTCCGTGGCAGCACTGACGAAAATTATGATGTCGAAATGGATGATGAGCGACAACATCGCAGAGCCTTTTCCGAGGGAATCCTGCGACTTAATCATCCTGATGGAGGCAGTGCCCATTCTTCAACAGGAGAGCTTGCGGGCGTCTATCTGGGCGTGCTGAATGTCTATACGACCCTACCTCAATTTGTCGGGACTTTTGTCAGTTGGGTTGTTTTCTCAATCCTAGAGCCGAGCCAGCACAATAGTGTCGCTGACGAAGATCCCGACCATCATCGGTGGCTCAATCTGAAGAACGGGCCAAATGCGATCGCCGTGTGCATGTTTATAGGAGCGCTGTGCTCCTTGATCTCCGCAGAAGCTGCCAGACGGCTAAAGCGGTTGGGTTGATGTAAAATGCCAGCCTTGCTACAAAGTGGAATGCCCCCTTTTTGCGGCTGAGTCTTTTCATTTGCCATTCGCTGTACGAAGACACTCTCAGGGTCATTTCCCTGATTCCTTCAAATTACATGGGACAAACACGCTCTCTGTGCAAGACCGCACGGAATATGGGGTACTCGGAATCGACTGTTTTCATCAAAGTAGAGCCTCAACAAGCATCGCCCTAAATAGCGATTCCTAGGCGAGGCTAAAGGCCGTGGCTGATTTTGCATCTATCCACCATTGGACGACGAGAGTCCGCGAACCCTTTTCGCTCAGCTGCTTCAGCTCTCTGCATCTGCCAATTCGAGCATACCCTGCAGATGGTTGCCGGTCTCGTCTAATATGCAGGCCAATTCTGGTCTAAAGTCAGCGTCATTGGTTCTGAACTCCACGTGGCTGCGTTGGCCACACTCTCTGCCTGGAAAGGCCAGTCGCGATGCGCCAGAGAGGAATTGTCCTACTGAATGGAAAGCGACAGGACCAAGAATTGTCTAGGGATGCTTAGTCCTCGGTGTTGGAAGTCACTCGAGGATGCTGCATCGCGCGACTGCAGAAGAGGTCAATCGCCTCATTTACCACGAAGGTCCGGCTCCAATGTGACACCTGAAGAAGGCCCAAGATGCACTGCTTGATGCAGCAAAATCCGACCGTTCGCGAATTGAAACCGCAGACAATGTTCTCAATCATCAGCGGTGGTGGTGTCGGACCATGTCGGCTCTCCAGACTCCCAAATCGAAACCTTGTGGGACAAATTGCCGTCATGCACAGCACGATACACAGTTCATGCAAGCATCTTGAGGCTTCGAGGCAGACACAGCCTCCCACCACCGCACACTTGTCTCTATATATCTAGCATGCCGGACACGAGGCCGATCCTACTGTATATATTGCCCTGCTGGTTGCAAGTTTCCAGCCCGATGATTATTTCTCGACCAAGGTCCATTGAACTCGATCATTTTTCCTGTCCTAGTGTCGATTAGACAGCATTTTGTGGCGAGGTGGCTTCAACATCACTGCGATTTCAGAGCTTCGGCCTTATCAGCCCTACTTCCCTGGCACGCTCTCGAAATGAGCATCGACATCAATTGTATGCCCCAGGGCCTCATCGACAGAGTCAAACTTACCAACTGTCCCACAACCTACTCTCTCCTTGCCTCAATTGCTATTTTCAACCTAGAAGTGGCCCTCTTATCCTTGATTTTCGCTGAGGCTCCGCCTTCTTCCCACCAACTAACCATCCGCGCAATCTTGAGCTCACAAGCTGATAAATGCTCTAACCACAGGCCACGAGCGAGTCCGCAGAGCCGTCACCTGGTATGCCTATTTTCCCAGCGTTCGATGGACGCCGTTTGCTGGCATCGTCACAGTCGTCATATCCATAGCCGCCATGTTTGCTGCCACTTATCTTCTCCGAAACAATGGCTTCCATCTGAAAGCCTTCATGCTTGTTGGCTTCTGAACCATGCGACCTCGGGCCACCGTCTTCACGCTTCTATTCTTCATCATTACTCGCGTATGTTTTGGGCCAAAAAGACAACCAGAATACGTATTCGTGGACGCTCAAAGACCACACGGTGGAAGATACCCTGCTCAATAGATTCAGTCTACCCTTCGCGCTGTGGTATATTCTGCATCGACCCGGTAGCTTGGATGTGGGTGTCTCTTCAAACGATCCCGCATACGTACGTTTCTGGAATTCCTTCTATGCAATCGCTGGTGCCAGTGCTATCAGTGCTTTCCTCACGGTTGTGATGTTGGGTCACGCCTGTTCGAGCAATAGGAGGAGACAGGGAGCCGGAGAAATTCTTTATAATGTGGTTGGGTACAACCAGCACGATCCATCGCTGTCGACATTCTGGAGGTTCGTATTTTCCGTCGCCAGGATCAACATGATTGCTGTGCTTGCGACGAATTGGGCCATTTGGAGCAGTGAGCTTTACTCTTTGCCCAACTCTTTCCCCAGAGCGTTTGTTCTTGCATCTCCTGACCCAATGCCGAACAGCATTCGTTATCAACGCTGGGACTGACTTCTGCCCCGGAAGCGTCGTCGGTGAAGGTATCGCCTGGGGTGTCGCCCTTTTCATCAGTGCACTAGTTCGACCTATCATCGGAGGGCCCGACTCGTCATGAAAGAGCCGTGTCTCTTAATCCCCTGCCAAGCACCCTGTCTTTTCACCCCCGTCGCTGTATTACTTGGTGTCAAGGTGTATCATTTTTGACCTGGAATTGCATCCTATCTTATCCTTCGGTACGGGCCATTCGGCCAAGAACAGCTCGCCGGTCTTGCAGAGTTATGGCTGAGATTCATAAGCATCAAGTCCCATTGCGAGGATCTCTTGGTTGTCATGATAGAATACCATGGAC